ATATTATCAATGGACAAAGCTTGGAACTGAGTTCCAAAAGTGGCTTCGTCAGCTTCTACAATGCTAAAGGAAAACATATGAGATATCAACAGAATTTGCTCACTGTTTACAATGACTACATTCCCTTCACGAACAAATTTCAGCTTATGGTGCAAGGTTGAAGTAAAAAATCTTATTTCATGGATCCATGGTCGTCCCAATAAACAATTGTAGGTAGGGACAATATCCATAACCTGGAAAGTAATATGGAATAAGTGCAGACCTATGTAAATAGGCAAATATACTTCTTCGATGACAGACTTCCTAGAACCATCAAATGCTTTCACTATAATGCCACTTGGGCGCATGGGAGCTCCCTAGTACTTAATATTCATGAGTGTACTCCTTGGTATGACATTCAAGGCAGACCCATTGTCAATCAATACATTGGACAAAGAGTCATTCTTACAATTCATGGAAATATGCAGAGCCAGGTTATGGTTTCTTCCTTGATCAAGCAACTCATCATCACAAAAGCTCAAATTATTACAAGATGTAATATTCCCCACGACACTACTGAACTGATCCAGAGACATGTCACTTTCAACAAAATCTTGATCCAACACTCTCATCAGAGACTCTCGATAAGCAGAATAGTTCATTAGCAAGGCTAGAATGGAAATCTTAGATGAAGTTTGGAATAACTGATCCAAAATCTTGTAATCACTCATCTTGATGATTTTCAACAAGTCATCCACATTCTTTTCCAAGGTAGCGCCGTTATATTCTCCTACCATTTTCTTAGGTTCAATATTCTCAACAACCTTTTTATCAGAATTAACATCCCCTTGAAAGGTAGGGGCGAAGACACGATCACTGCGGGTTACCCGACTAGCTTCAACAATATTCTCAACATGGGACAAAGGTTGGATAGGAATTTTCACACCATCTTCTAGGATAGTTGAATTGTACTTGTAGGGCATAACTCTGTCTGATTCATATGGGACAGGACCAAGCAAACAAATAACCACGGGAGCAACAACATGCTTGTTATGGTACTCAATCTGTACATGCCAAAGGGCTAGCTCAGTTGGTCAGTGGGCGAGGGAAATTGCCAAAGGGCCTGGGCTCGATCCCCAGGTCCCCCATATTATTTCATGATTTTGTTTCTTGCATAATCAGGCACATGTGCATACAAGGAGTCCACCATATGTCATCATCCTTCAACCACCAAATCTCCAGAATGCCAGATCCAATGCCTAATACACGAGGGTCTATCATGGGCGTGAGTCAAGCCAAGGCATGGGATCTGAAAAGTCAAACATGGGCCAGGCGCATTTGGGCTTGGATTTTCAATTGACACCCCCTCCGTTGCTACTAACATCAGGCCAATTTCTTTATTTTTCTTTTCTATTTCTTTATTTAATTTATTTTGATTAATTATTTTCTAACATAAAATTAATTCTTTTTTTACAAAAAACTCATAAAATCAATTTTCAACAATTTAGATTTAGGTTTTATTTTTGTCAAATTTAATTTAATAATCATTTTAATTTAATTTTAGGATAATTTTAACCTTTTTGTAAATAATTTAAAACAAATTAGAAATTAGGGTTTGTTTGATTTAATTTCTACTTTCTTTTCTTAAAATAACAAAAATGCCAAAATAGGTCAAATTAATTATTTTTCTTAATTTAAATTAATTAGTAATTAGGTTTGTACTTATTTAATTAAAACCTTATTTTCTCAAAATAATCAAAAACAACAAAATGATTTTTCTTTTAATTAGGTTTAGACGGGGTCAAAACCCTAATTTTCCTCGTTCTCGATTCATTGCGTGCATTTATTATTTTTACGATATTAATGTAACTGTTCATGGTATGTAATAGTTTAATTAGGACTTTTCTTTTACTTATCGTTTTACGGGTTTTTGGCTATGTAATTAATCCCCCTCCCCGAAGCCTTGTAATAGCGTAGTTTTATTTCTTGCATTTTAATTTTCACAAATATTAACTGTTAGATGTATGATAATAGGATTGCATGACAAGACTGTATGTAAAATTTAAAACGGTTAGCAAACCCTAAATGTGCAAAGATAATAACTGAAATCAAATCACTCACACATGCGCGCTCCTAGGGTATACTCCCACTTCGGTTGCCTTCGGTAAATGATCATTAAGTATAGGGTGTTTTAGTGGTTATCCTCTTGTCTAAACAAAGATCAAATGTCTCGTTCGGAAATGTTGCCTCGGAAAGGTTGCCTCAGAAATGTTGCCTCGAATATGATCTTAAGACATTAGGGTTATTACTAAGACGTCCTAACATTGTTTTAGTGATCGTACGTCCCTTTCGAATTGACCCTTACAACTCCAACGACGGCGCTTACTATTTCTCAAATAAGTAGGATAACGCTGTCTAAAGGAAACAAGAACATAAGCATTCTTTTTTCGAGTAGGTAGATGCTAGTAGGTACTTGCTCAAAATAAACTTTTTCACACTTACACTCTTTTCAAACAAGGTTTTCAAAAACACTTCGTAACACTCTTGAAGACAGAAGCAAGGGTTAAAACGAAGTGAAACAAAACTTTTTCAAAACACACAAACACGGAAGCAACTTTTAAATGATGAGCAAGTACCTAAGAGCCCGTAGAAAACTGCGGATAAAAAGGGTGCTAATACCTTCCCTTTCTATAATCTACCCCCGGTACTCAAAATCTCGAAAAAAGGAATTTTTCTGTGCTTTTTTCCTTTCCAGTTGGATAAAATAAAAGTAGGTGGTGACTTTTGCTTACCGCGACATTTTGCGAATAAAAACGCAAAACACAAACCAGCATTTTCCTAAAACAGTCCGGTTCTGCCACCCTATCACAATCTCTTTTGTGTAAGCGGCGGTGGTGATTTTTAAATGATAAAGAAACTTTGTGGCGGCCTTTGCTATATATATATATATATATATATATATATATATATATATATATATATATATATATATATATATATATATATATATGGTGCTTTGGAGTCTAGTGTGTTGGGCAGAAGGGTGTCCGTGTTAGTGTTAAAAAAATCATCACTATGATGGAGGGACATTAAAGCTTTGGGTTGTTCAGGGGGTTATACGAGGGACTGGTTCTTGAATGGTATATCATGTAGGCTTGATGATGGAAACACAATCCTTTTTGAAAGAGTAATTGGATTAGAGGGGTCCCTCTAAGGTTAGTATTTCCTCTACTTTTTAACATATCACAATGGCCTAATGTAACAGTAGTGAGATGGGTGTCTTCATAGAGGACTCTTGGTGCTGACACTTTATGGGAGAATTTCGGTTACTGTGGGGGGTTATATTGGACCAAAAAGAGGAGTTAAAATCAATATTAGTTCATGTTGGTCCAACTGTAGAGGTCGATGATATATTCATATGGTTCACACATGCAGCACGAAAATACTTAATGTGTGAAGGTTAAGCAAAGTCTTCAAGGCTAGGCAACTCCAGCCCTTTGAACCCAAATATGTTGGATACTACGACAAGCTTATGGAAGTCTAAGGTTCCTTCGAAAGTCCAGGTTTTCGGTTAGAGATGTCTTAAAGATAGATATGCAACTAAGGAGTAATTGTTTAAAAGGGGTGTAATCTCTAGTAACAATGATAGGGTTTGTGTGTTTTGTTTTTATGCTAACGAGACGCTGAAACATCTTCTGGTGTCTTGTCCATACTCAAAATCAATTTGGGATAAGGTGTTGGTTTGGTTAGGGATTTCCCAAGGTCAAGTAGTAAGGGTACTGGATCATTTGTTGTGGTTTAGGGAGTGTCTCTTTGTGGCAAAGTTTCTTCAAAGAAGAAGTTGGTTTTATAGTTGTTAACTTGTTGGACATTGTGGAGCATGAGAAATGCTGTCATATTTAAGAATGATGTATTTAATGTAGGTAAAGTTGTTGAAAATGTGAAACTAATTTCTTGATTTTGACATGTTATTGGAATGGAATTCAAAGGGCGTGAGAACTTTTATTTTTGGTGCAAAGGTCCATTGAATTTTCTAAGTTTGTTGTAACTACTATAATCGGGCAAGTACCCTTGTATTCTATTAATGCTGCATTCCACTGCCTATCAAAAAAAATCTATAGGACAGTTTAAATCCCTTCCTAAAAAAATCTTTACCCTAGTGATATTTTCTAAATTAAATATTCTAAATTCTCTTTAAACTTTACTTTAAGGTGTTCTTCTAACTCTACGTTAACGTATAACATTTTTCAATCAAACTTTGTCAGTAAGTCAAAATTTAAAATCTGAATTTTTTAGTTCTTCTATCTTTTTAGCCACACAATTAGCTTCTTGTTATTGTTTCCACTGTGTCTGTACATTTTCTTTTAAATGTGTTTATGTTCCATGTTCCAAAGTAAATTATATTCTTATGAACCGGTTGCTTTATCTAGACTTGTTCATAAAAAATATTGAACCTTTGTTTATTTTTCATTACAATATTCATTCATGCGAAGATAGAGTAATCTTTGCTCTTTTGACAAAATGTTTGAACTGTACAATGTATTATTTCCGAATAACGATTTAGCATTCACATCATTATATCTTTAATCCATTTTATAGAAATTCGATTAAGTTTTACGTTGAACATAGAATGTCTCACACAACATTATCTTTTTATTTGGGGTTGAAATTGACTATACAGAACAAAACTTAACATATGAATAACTTATCTCACAACAAGTAAGCCTGATTTAATGTTTGCTGTAAGTGTTGTTATAGATATCTGGAAAAGCCTAATGAGATGCATTTAGTGGCTATAAAAATTATCAAAAAAATAAATAGTTGGATTCAAACTCAAGCTGTATATTAGTGACAGTGAGTGATGCAAATAACACAATCCATTCACACTTGAATGAGAGAGTTTGAGTGAATAATAAAAAGCATTAATCAGGTCAATTTCAACCCAAAAAAAAAAAAATCAAACAGATATCCAATCCTCTTAATCTGTAACAAGCTATAACATCAAAATGATATAGTCATTATTAAATAGGATGCTGTGGTAAATTCTTATTGACTAAGAAGTGTCGAACTAGCTGAAGAGCTTGCTTGGGAGCAAAAGTAGGAACCTCATGACCAGCTCCTCTTATAGTCACAAATGTTATCCCATCATATACAATGCTCCATCCTCCCACCTATAATTCCACACATAAAAAATTAACAATGTCAGTAATATCGACCGATAAACATATCACATATCGGTGTAATGTAACAGACTAGGTTTACCTGTCTACTAGTATACCAAGGAGTCCAATCTTGAACAATAGGTAGTCCCAATTTTCTTAATGTGTATCTTGTGGCAGTTACAGGAATTCTTCCATCAGTGTCTCCGCTGTATAAATCATGAAATATAAAGTTTTAGAATCAATTAGTTCAAAAAATATACTAATTGAATTACCTGTAAATCCATACGCGTAGACCGCCAGCAATAAGTTTCTTGAGGACAGGTAGCATGGACACCGGCGAATCATTCCAAAATGATATATTGTTACTGACAACAAAGAAGAAGATATCATCAATTTCAAATTTTCCGTATTAATACGAGTATCACATGATCATATACCTGCAATGAGTCCATGGATATGAAATTTTGGTGACATTTGCATGCAGTGCCTTTTGAACTTCTGGCCTATTTAGATAAATTTCAGTATAATCTGATGCACATGGATCATATCCGGCTCGCATTTTATTCCAGCCGTCAGAGGATCTTCTTGTGTTACTGGTATTGCTGAAACATCTTGGTGCATACAAACTATACATATCAATAATCTTATACACATCAAAATATTTGTTAAGTTCGGTATTGCATGCGTCGGTTTGATTTTGAATCGGATAGCTGAAATTGCATATGGTTGTGATGTTTTGGTATAAACCATCTGATATCACAGCATGATCCCATGCATATTCTATCATACCCTTTTGATCTGTTTCATCATCCAATAATGCATTTCCAATCTGAAATAAAATAAAATCATTATGTTAAACTAACAATGTTGATTATTGATGATGATCAATTTGATTATATGTATACCATGATCCCTTTGAAATTAATGTAATCTTCATTGGAAGAGTTTTGATTATTATTATCCAAAATGAGTTCAGCAAGTTGTGGAACATAATGTCCTGAAATTTCAATACAAACCAAGATTAATTTAAATTTAAGAAGTAATAAGAAAAATAGTGTTTAATTAAAAATTCTATTAAGTGTTAGGACTTAAATATGTACCTGCATAGCTTTCACCAGCAATGTAGAAATCATGTGATTTGAATTGAGGAAATCTTTTAAACCAATTGATGAGGAAAGTGTGTGAATCTTGAGCTGGTCAATGAAATTAATTATTCATTAATTAATAAATCACATTAAGTGGAGAGTACTAATAAAAAATTGTATTAAAATTAATCCTTAGATTAATTATTATTACCAGTAATGGTGTCACCAAGTTGACTAATATCAGTGGTGGTGTTGGTGTAGGAAAATCCAACTCCAACAGGGGATTCAAGAAATAAAAGATTTGCAGCTGTAGAAAAAAAATTCATGTTTGTATGTGATTATTAGTGTTTTCTTTAGGTTTTAGAAATTAAATAAATAGATTATTGATATTATCATGATTATGAATTTGAATTTAGTTACCTTTATTCCAAGAATAAGGGTTCAACTTGAGCTTAGGTTGGGTGCTATTTTGGGGTGAAAAGGGTCCAAGCTCCTCTGCTTCTCCATAACCAATTGATGAACAACCAGGGCCTGAAAATTTCATGCATTTTAATTTTTTACATCAATTATACTAATGTATATTTAAAATGTGAAAGAAATAGTAAGGATTATTAATTAAAAAAATACAATTGAAAAATAAAAACTAAAATCACATTGCAAACTAAAAAGATATTTATTTTAAAACAATTTTTTTTTTTACAGTGACATTTATTTTAAAAATAAATAATGTCCGGCAATTTAGTGAACATGATTTAATTTGATGACTAAAAAGTCTAAACTACAATTTGATTGTAATTTTGTCTTTCTAACTTTCGTTCAAAGTTTAGACTATAACTAGAAAAGTCCAATTTAACTAAACACATACCAAAAACTAAACTACCTAATTTTGAAAGTGACGCAAAGTTTTCGAAGTGAGAAATTTTGGCAATAAAAGCTAGCTAGTATCATGATGATTTTTAAAAATAATAATCGTTGGAATAACAACTAATTTGAGGAGCTCGAACTTTATAAACAAATTCACACTATATTAATGTAAAAATATAAAAAGAAAAGATGAGTTTTATTCAGTAAAATAACTTTATTTATATAATATTATTTGTCAATTTGAATACAGCAAATAAATATTTTTTTATTAATTAATTTAGTGGTTGAGATGTATTTTTAAAAAAATAAATAACTAAGATGTGGCGAATTCAAGTCCACATTAGAAATATAATTTTGATAAAAATCAAATTACAATTACGTATAATTCTAATTTTTTATTATTATTTAATTTATGAACATTTGTTTTCAAGTGTTTTTCTTTTGGTTGCGTCATTGATGATATAAAGTTTCGTGGCCCTGATGTTGCTATCAGAAGCTAAAAGAAATGGTTTATAATTATATGACTTAGGTTGAAAGCAATATTTCATGATGGCTGTTCCTGATGCAAATTGAAACCACTCACTAGGAATATTTTTGGTCAAATTCCTAACACCTGCACGCTTGCTAGCTCAGTTTCTTTTGTCCATATTAATTAAGCAATTTGAAAAAGGATTACGTAACATGAAAACAATATAACTTCATTTTAAAACTAAGCAAGAAATTAACAACTCATGATTAACAAATATGAATATAAGTATATAACTGTGAATTATGGATGCAGGCAAAGTGGGACTTCGGTTACATATTTGAAATAGAAAATTCTCTTTTGTTTGATACTATAGTGCCAAAAACTATTGATAATGACATAATCAAAAATCGTTACAAAATTACAATGCTTCCAATAAGCCAAAGTTTTAAACCTCTAAGCCAAATTAGAAATTTGTGAGTTGTCAATTTTGTGCTCGTAGTTTCAATCTTGGTATGTTTTCAAAAATCGTGCCATATCTTAAGTTTTTGTAACCTTGTAATATTTTAGCATCACTTTGTTTCGTATGGGAAATGGGAACTCATAGTAGTTGATGTATGTACGTAACTAATATGATGCTATTATCATATGCTATAATATTTATTTATTTATTTATATATCCATACTCTTGCTTTTTTTTAGAAATCAAATATTTTTTATGTTCAATTGTAGACCAATCTCTCGAGAACAGAGAGATCACAAAATTACCTTCAAAAGAATTTAATATTGTTGTGTGTATATCTAAAATTTTGGTTCGAATTCAAAATATTTGGTGAAGTTGGAAGAAATCCATTAAAATCTCGTATATTTGATATAAGTTCTGACATCTCTAAAAAAATGTGTGTCTATATTTGTGTCCGTGTTAAATTCATGTACTAATATTTGTAATTATGTTTATTTTTTTTAATCAATATCATGTAAGTATTAGTGTCCAGACCATGTTGGATGTGGATCTGCTTCATAGAATACAACATTTTTAATTAATATACTAACTGATATACTAATGTTAGAAATGAGATTAGGTTTATTTTGGCTATAAGTGAAGGATTTATGATCTATATTCTGCTGGCCATATATTTCCTTCAGATTTGTTTTTAGTAGGTTTAGATTTTTGTTCAAACGATTTTAAAAAAATAATAATAAAACATATGGTGGCAGTTGTTGTCAAATCGATAGTGATACTATATGCACCACCAACATTATCACAATCATTCATAAATTAATACATCAATTATAGAGAAAAACTCGCGTACTATCATGTAAAAGCAAATCACAGTTTCATAAAATTTTCATATTTCAATGAGATATATACTATATAGTAAGCTTATAATAATAATAAAGAGAGAAATTAGTGAAACACAAATACCTCCATTAAGCCAAAGAAGAAGAGGTTTTTGTTGAGGTTGATCAACAGCTTCAAAGAACCAATAAAACAGTGCTCTTCCATGACTTTCATTCACAGTTATATAACCTGAATATTGTTTGAAATTCACCAAAGGTTGACCAGGTAGTTCATAAACTCTATCCTCTTCTTGTTCTCTCACACCTAAACCTTCTTTGCTCATACAAACAATCACAAAAACAACAACAATCATTGAACTCAAACCCATCTTATATGTTATAGATTAGATAGTTGTTTCTCTCACAAGACACACTCTCTCTATATATAATGAAGAGAAGAGACTTAAGATAACAGGTAAGAGTCATGTGTATTACAGTGCCTAGTTAGCTACTATTGCTTTACTTCTCTATTTTTTTATTTGTAATATATAATATATATATATATATATTAAAAAAAATAATTCAAAGAAAAAAATTATTGACATGCCCGGTTTTGAAAGCATGCTTTTGGAAGAGTATATGAGAATGGTATGAAGAAAGAAAGAAAAAAAGTTTTTCTTGTGAGTCAACATCAAGATTCATTAATATTAAATTAGATAATACATGTCAAATTAGCTGTATAGAATTGCTTTGACTCTGAATAAAGGGTATACATGCATAGTATATACTATATAGTATAATAGTAGTATGTATACATTTGGACTTTTCTTAAGCTTCATTTATGAATGAGATATTAATAATATGATGATTATTTTTTGTTTTGCATTATCCATATGGAGTTTAATTTAAGGGACAAGATTTGCGGAATGGTCAATAGCTTTGGGTTTGAAATGTTTGAAGATTCTGCCCCACACTATGTTTCTAGTTACTATCTTTTCAATTAACCATCATAGTAACATTGAAATCATCTAGAATGGAAGGTACAACAATGATGACAATTGTAGAGTAAGTACATAGCAATGCTATAATATTCTATGCTGGATTTTCTGCCGGCAATAAGTTTTACTTCAAAGATGAAAACTAATCAAGCCGGCCTCAAACGGCAAGGTGAAATAAACTAGGAAAATTATTCGCTACAAGTTTAAAAAGTTAATGGGCAAATTCTGTTAGAGTTAAGTTTTGAGAACTTGGATCAATTTAAAATGTTTAAGGATTATTTTTTTTTGTTGGAATTCTATCAAATCTATAATGAAACTCTATCGATATTGACGAACAAAATTGTTATCAACACATTATTCAGTTGTAACGGTAAATTATGTGAATACAACAATTTAATTACAAAAATAGGGGTTACTCCATATTTATAGATTTAGGTTAGCTTGCTCCATAAACTAAAATCCAAAACTATAAAAGCCCAAAATATCTATTTGGAACTAAATCAAATCTATCTATTTTAGATCTAAATCAAATTTATTTAAATCTAAAACAAATCTCTGTGTAACAAACTTTTTTCACACTTCTAAATCAAATCAAATTTTTTCAACACTCTCTTGTTTCTGTCGAGCAAACTGTTTCGACACAAAGAATTACTTTCAATAATTTTAACCTTAAATTTAGTTCTTTTGAAGTTTTGGGTAATCTATTATCATTATCGCTTTTGATATTGAAGAGTGTTTTTTTTCGTGTTTCCTACTTTAATTATTGTGCATATGAAAGGTGTGATACCATTCAAGTTATTCATAAAGGTTGTATGAGTTGTTTAGAATAAAACATGGAGAAAATAATTAAGATGTGAAAAAAATGTTAATTTACGTTGTTAAGAATTTTAGTAAAAACTTTTCAAAATAAGGATTTAATTTACAAAGTTCTTAGATGCATAAATTGAAATTATCAGCTTAAATCCATTGCGATTATTAAATATAAAGACTTGTCTTCTATAGATTTGACTATTTTATTTGGCAAATTGCATGAATATGAGATTGAGCTAAAAAAGACTTGTTGAACATGAATAAGGTGACAAAGAAATAGAAAAGTCTTGCACTCAAAGTCGAAGAAGGCAAAGAATTGAAAAACAATGAAGACATGAATCTTTTAGTCCGCAAGTTCATAAGACACGAGAAGCAACCTCAAAATGTCTTGCATAAAAATGAAGAAATATCATCTTTTGTGCCATCATGTTTCCAATGCCGAAAGAATTGTCACACAAAACTAAATTACTCTTAAAACCATAAACCAAACTGGAAAAAAAATACAAAAGACCTAAAAAGAAATAAAGAATGTTGGAACAAATGATTCAAGAAAGATGAATATTGTGAAAAACAAGAAGAAGAAGAAGAAGAAAAAGAAGAAGAAGAAGAGAGAGTTGAGTTAGTTAAGTGTAACTAACTCTGAATTGAACTCAGTTATTATTGTTGCTTCGATTACAAATAATGACCCTATATATAGGCAAGATGCCCAGGCCCAGATACATGCTAAAAAGTCCAAATAACCACATAACAATAATTAACCAACTAACACACCCCTTAATTCATATTATCAAGACTTCTCATCTCAATGCCTTTCTTTAACTCTTCGAATCTCACTTTCTTCAGAGGTTTGGTGAATATGTCAGCTAGTTGCACTTTTGTCTTGCAATGTTTTATTTCAAGCTTCCCTTTGTTGACTTGATCTCTTAGAAAATGATACATTCTTTCAATGTGCTTACTTCGACCATGACACATTGGATGATTTGCAAGGTTTATAGCTGACTTGTTATCAACAAATAACTTTATCTTCGATTCCATTATTCTGAGTTCTTCAAGTAGCATTTTGATCCATGCTGCTTAGCATGCAGCATATGATGCAGCCACATATTCTGCTTCGCATGATGACAAAGCTACAATTCTTTGCTTCCTCGAACTCCAGGAGATTGGAGCTCCTTCGATCATGAAAATGTATCATGCAGAACTCTTCTTTTCATCTTGATCTGCACTGAAGTCCGAGTCAGTGTATCCATGAACTTCGACATTTGTGTTATTCTTCAACTTCTTTGGTAACAACACACCATGATCAATAGTTTCCTTTATGTATCTCAACACCCTCTTTATTGCAATAACATGACATTCTTGAGGCTTCTCCATAAATCTGCTCAACAATCCTACACTTTGGCAGATATCTGGTCTAGTATTGCAAAAATACCTCAAGGATCCAATGATTTGTTTGTAAAGGGTCGAACTTACAAACTCATCATTCGATTCCTTTTTCAGCTTTGCTCCAGTCTCTAATGGAGTAACAGTTGCCTTACAGTTTCTCATATTGAACCTCTTCAGTATATCTTGAGCATACTTCGTTTGATGTAAGAAAACTCATTCTTCGACGTCTTTGAATTTCATTCCCAAGAAATATGAGAGATTCCCTAAATCAGACATTTTGAATTCCTGCATTAACATTAACTTTACCTTCATTATCTCAGCTTCGTCTGCTCCTATAATGAGTAAGTCATCAACATAGAGGCATAAAATGATTCAATTGACACTTTCGACATCATTTACATACACTCCATGTTTAGAGACACAATTTGTGAAACCTACTTCGATTAGGAAGCTATCTATCATTTTTATTCTAAGCTCTAGGAGCTTGCTTCAAGCGAGAGACTTCCTTAATCTGTACACTTTCGACTCTTGCCCTTTGACATCAAAAACTGGTGGTTGAGTAACATAGACTTCTTCTTCCAATTGACCATTCAAAAATGCTAATTTTACATCAAGTTGGTGCATTTTCCATCCTCTATTTGCAGCAATTGAAACAACAATCCTGATTGTTTCGATCCTTGCAACAGGCACATATACTTCATCAAAGTCAATACCTGGTTGTTGTAGAAAACCTCTGGCCACCAATATTGCCTTGTACATTGCAATCTCACCATTTGGCCTTCGTTTCACCTTGTAGATCCATTTCACATCAATTGGTTTCTTGTTGGTTCTTTTGACAAGCTCCCGAGTGTTGTTTTTATCAATGGCTCTAAGTTCTTCTTTCATAGCTTCACACCAATTCGAATTGCTCAAGGCTTCACCCAAATCAGTTGGTTATGCTTTAACCATCATCTTGACTTCTTTGATTAAGTCACCATCTGCATCGATTGCTTTATCTGGAAACCTCTCATATCCAATCAGCCTAGTCGACTCAATTCTTGTTCTTATGGATCTTCTTTCATTTTTGCGCATGTGGTTCTTTATTTTGACTTGTCGAAGCTTCGTTCTCTTCATCTTCTTCAAACACAGCTGTGACTGTGTCTGATTCATGTCGAACTGAACTTCGACTCCAATCCCATCCTTTGCTTTTGTCTACAAGAATATATCTATTGATCACTAGTTTATCTTCAATTGGTGAATACAAATTGTATGCATCGGTCGAATGATAACCTATGAGCACCATGACTTCACTTCGATCATCCAGCTTCTTTCTCAATTGTTCAGGTACATGCCTGAAACACATTGATCCAAAAATTCTAAGATGACTTACATTTGGCTTCGACCATGTCCAAGCCTCATGCGGTGTCTTTTCGAAAATCTTCTTCGTTGGGCATCTATTTAGAATTTATACTGCTGACGAAGCTGCTTCAGCCTAAAATATCTTAGGCATATTCTTAGCTTTCAACATACATCTCGTCATGTTCAGTACACTTCTATTCTTTCTGTCAGTTATGCCATTATGTTGAGGCATATAGGGTGAAATAACCTCGTGCTCTATACCTTCCTCATTGTAAAATCTAACAATCTTTTGCATGATTGATAAAAACTTGGATGATTTCAAGGACAAGTATGGCAATCTTTTGTTCCTATTGAACTCCAAGGTTGATACTATGGCTATCCAAACTCTTATGCAGTTCTATGATGCTCAATTAGGGCATTTTACACTTCAGGATTATCAACTTGCTCCTACTTTGGAGGAGTATGCTTACCTCCTAAAGGTTAAGGTTATAGATCAGACGCCTTTTGTCAGTGTTCTAGAAATTATAAGGCTTGAACGAATTACTGGAGCTCTTTATTTGAGCTTGAAAGATGTAAAAGACAATTGGAAGCCCAAAAGTAATACTTGTGGTCTCCCTTTGAAATTTTTGATGAGTAAAGCCATAGTTTTAGCAGACATGCGAAGTTGGGATGGTTTCAATACATTGTTGGTTGTTATGATATATGGGATAGTTCTCTTCCCCAACATGGAAAACTTTGTGGATCTGGCCGCTATTTGTGTCTTCACGAACAAGAATCCAGTGCCCACTTTGTTGGTCGATGCTTATCATTATATTCATTCGAAATATGGGAAAGGAGGAGTTATTACCCGCTGCCTTCCC